CGGCAAAAACAAACGAGCATCACATCCCAACACTTCCAGTCAGTAAAGTCAGTAACCAGGGCAACCCGCGCGCTATTACGCACGCTCCGGACTATATTGAGAAGCCTGGCTGTGAACCAGGGGGGTCACTCCATGACGCAGCGACGCACGGAGGGCGGTGTTCTTCCAGAATGAGACGCTTCATAACAGAACGTCAGTCCTGGCATCAGGCTAGTCTGACTTCACCGCGCCGAGGACTAACGCTGCTGCGGGACTCTGTCAGAAAAAACAACAACTTACTTTTCTTTTTGTCTCATTTGAAGGGAGATCCGAGCTCTTCCCCTGAAGTAAGTGCACTCTTTCTTTCTGAAGTTGCCAGGTGATTTTTTTTTTTTAAGGCTGAAACGCGCTCTGTTCTGTCACCGCGCGCTCCGGACGCACGAGCTGAAGCTGCAAAATCATTTCAGAGTTTAAAAAACTCTGGTAATAAGCTGCGAGTGGATATGATTTTCAATTTCCTTTATGAGTTTCGAAAAATAATGGTCATTACAGGAATTGTTGCCACTTTTGCGACTCATTCTCACAGGGAAAATTAGTTTAAAGAGATAAACAAATCAATTTCTCACCCTTTTAAGGCTGCTTCGAATTTAACAAAATAAAAGCCTCATTTAATTCCAGAGAAAATATTTAAAGTTCAGAATAAATTCTATTAAAATAACTTGGAGTGATTTGCCAACATTTTTAGAATTTGATGCTAGAAAGTTTCTGTGCTGCAGACACACCCATGTCTCAGTCTGACATCTGCGCGCACACACGAGGTGTAATCTGACAGATTGTGCCCTCTTTGCTCAGATAATCTGAAAAGATGCTGCTGCTTCTCCTGGGAATCATCCTCCTGCACGTCGCTGCTCTTGTTCTCCTGTTTGTGTCAACAATTGTCAGCGTAAGTCCAACTTTTTAGATTTTTCTCTTTACTGTGAAGAAAACTGAATTATTTATAGTACAATCTTTAAAACAAACTATATTTAATGATGTGAAATAACGTCTGACTGAGGTCTGAGCGTATTAAAGTGATMAATAACAGTTGCATGTCTTGAGTTTTTGACCAAATTGTTTGTTGTTGCTGCAGGTTTGGACGTCAGGGGACAGCAACACCTCAGACCTGTGGAGAAACTGCACTCTTTACGCTGTAGGACACTCCTGTAACCCAGCATCAACTGGAGGTCAGAGCTTTTTGTTTATTAGTTTTTAACATTCTGTATTAATTGTGGACATGTTGATGGAAAACTTGTGTAATCCTGTTGAGGATGTGGGGCGTGTCACGCCTCCTTTTGGACTCTGGCGCCATCTAGGGCAGAGAATGTGACGGTGCTGCTCGGAGCCACCAGCTGATAGGCTGCCTCTGTATAAATAGTGATGTCCATAATAAGGTCTCGTGTTGGGGGGGGGTGTGTGTGTGTGTGTGTGTGTGTACGGTGATGGGAGCTGTGAATGATCTGGGTGGGGCCGCGGAGAGTATTTAAAGTTGTGTTTTTGAGAGTGTTTGAAACCAGAGAGGCCCTCGGACCACCGGACACGTCGATGACGGGACCACACCCCAGCACCAGATCACCGTGTCCAGTTTGCAGAGATCACAGGGGTGGAGTGGGGTGGGCTGGGAATTTAGGGGCAGCAGCTGCAGCGTCAAGAGATTTATGCACACAAAGCTCAGCTATYGGGATTAGAAGACGAGATGCAACGAACAGATAGGTCCAGAAAACCACATCAGGGGGGGGATTTCAGGACGTAGGAGTGAATAATGGGCGACGCTCACGTGGAGCGCAGCAGCTGGATGTGRTGCAGCAGTGAGGTCATGGCTGCAGAACGGACTCTGTCAGCCAGTGTGTGTTTTATCAGGCCAGCAGCGCCTGGACACACTGACGGCTTGTTTGACTTGCATTTACTGACGCAGTGTGTTTATATAAGAAGGCCCGTGTGTGTGTGTGTTTGTTTTTACTACAGAGTGAGGACCATTTGTGCCATAGTTACAATCAAAGTGAGATCTTTGATGTAAGTGAGGACGTTGAAGAGGTCCTCACTTTGTTTGCAGCTCTGCTGTGCTTTAAWAGTTAGGTTTAGAGCAGAGGTGGCCAAAGATGGCCCGCCGAGCCATTTGATTTGGCCCACCAGCAGTTGTCCTGGTTACTAGATTGTAGTTTTGTTAAGATTAAATATAAAATACAAGTAACTACAAGAGACATTTAGATTAAAGCTCATATATAGATTTGCACACCTTATAAGACCACATATACTCAAATTTTAAATTATGAAAAGTCCCATGAGCCTTTGCTGCCTGAGCATACGTTGAATTTTCTCCATGTCCATGAGCTGAAAAAGCAAAAAAACTAAAGAATGTGGGCAACCACACTGGCTGCTAGCTTAATCATAAAAAAATAAAACAACTTTACTTAAGTATTTGCATTTCTTATATTATTGCATTTGGCCCACGGCCCTCAGACTGATTTTAATTTTGGCCCTCTCATGGAAAATTTTTTTTTTTTTTTTTTTTTGGCCCTTTCAGGGAAAATGTTTGTGCACCCCTGTTTAGAGGTTTGGTGTGAATTAAGTTTTGGTTCAGGTTAGGGTTAGGAATAGACCAGTAATGGTTAATTTTAGGGAAAATGTCTGGGTTAGGCGTAAATACAGTTACAAAAATGAATGGGAGTCAATACAAAGTCCTCAGTTTGATGCAAATACAAGAATGTGTGTGTGAGTGTGTTTGTTTTTGGTGACATTTGGGGGSCATTTTAAGACAAAACGCCTACATTTGAGGACTACTGGTGCATTTGGGGACAAAAGTCGAGTCCCCGTTTGGTTTAAATGCCATTGGTGGGTTGGGTTTAGGACCAAGGTGTGAATTGAGTTTAGGTTGGTTTTGAGGTACCTGTGAGTTTAGCTTTAGGGTTTGTGGTCAGGGTTAGGCTGTAGAAATGTAATGGAAGTCAATGGAATGTCCCCAAATGGATAGCTGGGCAAAACTGTGTGTGTGTGTGTGGCTTCGACAGATGAAAGATAGCAGTCATGGTCAGAAGGAGTTTTCTGAAGTTTTCGCTGAGCAATCACATTCCTCCTGAGGTGAATCAGAATCAGCTTCATGTCTGCAGCAGAAACTTTACAATTCTTTCCTTTTGTTGCCCTGGTTACAAAACAAAATCAGGGTGGAGGCGTTGGGTTTTGATGACACCAGGACGAGAGATACGCTGACCCGCAGGGCGAGTTACACATTCCCACAGCCAGGAAAAAAAAATCACTTCATCAAATTTACACACTCTAAAATTAGCCTCGGAGGGAGGAGGTCGGACCGAAACACGATGAGACAAAAAATAAGTCCAGAGTTATCCTCCTGTTTGGAGTAACAGTGATGCTTTTGAAGTTTCGGGAAATACTTTCACCTTTTTTCTTCTGGAGAAGGAAAGAAGGAAGCAGGGCAAGCTTTATCAGAAAGTAACTTTATTTATCGCAAGATTAAAAAAAAGATGTTTTCTTCACAACTCATTTGCTTTTGTAAATGGCCATGGAAGTAAATATATATATATCAGGAACAAACAAGTATTACTCTCAGGTGTTGTGATGTGGAACATTTCCACAGTCATCCTCTTTATCCTTGACCGGTGGTGAATAATGTATTGTTTGTTCTCCCGCTGGTCTAAGTGCTCCTCCATTAAACCTGCAACATGTCTTTGATTTATATCAAAATCGGATCACCTCTGCACCACATGTAAACAAGAAGAGACTCACATTTCCATGTTTGGCAGGAGGGAGAGAGCGAGCACTCAAAAACAATCTCATTTTTATCGATTCGTCTGAAGGATTTGCTGATATGACAGGAGAGYATTAGATATCTTACTGTGATGAAGCAGAATGAGGGAAAAGACGATACAACAGTGAGAATATCAACAAGCTGGATAGATGCACAGAAAAATACAAGTCCGAGATCTTCAAAAACAAAATTAGATGGACTTTTTGTAGCCTTCTGGCATGTTTTTGTGAAAAAAATAATGKAAACAGAGCAAAAGTACAGTCAAAACATAGACTTAAATAACACTAGAGTGAGCTCCGCCCATCCCGTCCTCTGTTTCTGACATTATGTACATTCACTTATATACACAAAATATAAAAATTAATAAATTTGTTAATATTATTAATCGTTTTTATMATTTACATCATCCCTCTCTTTTTCCCGCAAACCCACATGCACAGTAATGATAAATTAAATATGGACCTGTTCAGTTTAGCCCCTAACTTAATTTGACTCAATTTTTTCTTATTTCAAGAATCTTACCAAGTCAAATTTTCTTACTCCATTGGCAGATTATTTTTTTTTACTTAATTTGAGTCAATTTTTCAGACTAACAAGACAAATAATTTTACACATTCTGAAAACAAGATTATTATTCTTACACAATCAGTTCTTGTTTAGTAAATCAGTCTCAAAACAAGATCAAAGAGACTTTTTGGCTGATATAAGACTTTAAAACTTGGTAAGATGGACAGTTTTTGCAGTGAGGAGCACAGAGAGAGTTTCTGAATCAAACAGCACAGCTTCACTGTTGGTGAAGGTGAATATTAATCCCAGCAAAGATGAGCCCAGTCCAGTTCTTTTATATAAGTGTTTCCGGTGATGACTCCAGTGTGGACTGAAGTGCTTTTTTTTTCTCTCCTGCAGAATGGATTCAAGCGGTCCAAGCTCTGATGATCCTCTCCATCATCTTCAGCTGCCTGTCTCTCTTCCTCTTCTTCTGCCAGCTCTTCACTTTGCAGAAAGGTGGWCGCTTCTTCCTCACTGGAGCCTTCCAGATCCTGGCCAGTGAGTTCCCAACTTCCCTTAACTTTTRATTGATTATTTATTGTTCTCCATCATTACTCGACATGAGATTGTCTTAGCCTAAACTTCAGGCTTGAAAGGGAGTTAGTGACATGCATTCCTTCAAGCAAAGCTAAGCCTTTGTTTTATTTAATTATTATAATTATTGTGTGCAGTTAATCGTCAGACAATTAGTATTTGCCACTTTCACTGCAGTGAATTCTGTGTGAGGCTGATGCAGTTTTGTGTGCGACGCGCTCTCATTACCAAGCTCAAGTGCACACGTGAGCCTGATGGCAGAAAGTAACATACAGCAGCTAATGCTAACTCTACTAAAGTGAACAGCGTAAACAAATCTAGACAGCAAATAATCCACGATGCTTCCAGTCGATCGGTCCCTTAAAAGRTGCACAGTCAGCACAGGAAGTGATCAAATGGGGCGGGTCATGGCTGTTAAAATGATGAAGTTAGTTTGACTGATGATGAGGTGGAAGTAGAACACAGAGTAAGTGACCTAATAGAAGCACGCAAGTGCAATTGCAATTTATTAATTCTCAATTTAATCAAAATTGGCTAAATGCTYCAATTAACCATGATTAACAGGTACATATCATGRAAAATCCACTTTCTTAGCTGTTAAATACTTTTTGTTGTGTACTTGGAGTCTCTAGGAGGCAGAAAAGTTGAATTTAGTCGCTCCTAGTGCTGCACAGATATCTTTATTACTGTTTAGTAGGGGTGCAACAATGCATGTACCCATAACGAACCGTACAAAACAGAGCTTTAGGTTCAATATACACTATGTACTGAACAATACCGATATTTTAAATTTATTTTATCAGCTTGTCTTCTGAAGATGCTCTTGTGTTGAAGGATCAGTGGATCTGTGTTCGACTACTCCACCTAGGCTGCACTGTCGAGCGCAGATCCACCAGCAACATTTAATTTAAAAACTGGACTTTTGAGGTTAAACAAATGTTCATAATTAATATAAATAAATTACAAGTTTAAAAAGGGCATGGAAATTTTTCTTTTTTGTATCAAAAAAATATCGAACTGTGAGACTAAAGTATCGAACCGAATCGTGAATTTCCTGTATCGTTGCACCCCTACTGTTCAGGTCATATTTTTCAACCTGTTCAGTTTCCTTTATTCTCTATGACATTTTTAAACTATGACATCACAATATTTACAACAAAACTGACAAATAAGGTCTGAACTTACCAATTACAATTTCATTCTCTGGTTCTGGGTCAGACTCTGGCTCCAACATGTGAGACTCGACGGACAAGTCTTCTGTTGACATCTTTTCATTTATTTGTAAATAAAAAGTTTCTGCGCAGCTATATAGTCATAAACCCCCCTTTCAAACTAGAATGGATCCCTCTGGGAGCTGGAGGGGGGCGGGGTGTGAAGCTCCTCGTTTGGATATAAAGAGACAGCCTCAAAACGAGTTGATCTGAGACACACCTCAGAAAAGAGGGGCTTGTGGAGTTACAGTAAGGAGGAATTCAGACCAAAGTTTCACTTTATATAGACCCCACCTCCTTTAGAGCAGTGTTTCCCAAAGGTGGGGTCGGGACCCAAAGTGGGGTCCTGAAACATCAAGGTGGGGTCCTGAAAAGATTTTAGGAATTAATTACATTTTTGCCTTAGTTGTTACAAAGGAGTGAGGTTAGTGTATTTAAAATGGGTAAATTTAGTATAAAAAATATTGTTACTATGCCCATGTTTTGTTGACCTGATACAAATGTTTATCATACAAAAATAGCTGGGGGAACAGGTCTCTGCTGCTGTTATTTTGTGGGTCAAAAGCTGAAAAGTTTGGGAACCAGTGCACTTTGGTTCCCAAAGTTGGGCTTGGGACCCAATTATGGGTCATGAAGCACCTTGGATAATCTCCAGAAATCAATTTAAAGGGTAATAAAATAATTGGTAATGTAATATTTTCCCTATACAAAAACACAAAAGAAGTATAAATAAGAATTTATATTTGTGTAGCCTTTGTTTTTAGGGTTATTAACAAAGTTCGTGTACTCAGACCAGCAATATTTGGGGTCACAAGTTTTTGCCATGGATATTTTGTGGGTCAGAAGATAAAAAGTTTGGGAACCTCTGCTTTAGAGTGAAGAGTTACTCCAGCAGGAAGTCCAGAGCTGATGCTGGTGGAACAGTTTTCCTGCTGCGCTCGTCTGTTCTGCTTCATGCCCTTTGGCCAGAGAGKGAGCCGCTTCACCAGCAGCCCCCTTTGTGTTCCCTCCTGGCAAGCCCTTTCGCAAAATGCCAGGTTTTTCTCCATTCCATGCCGGCGTCAGGGCCGGGGGCACCCAGGTTCCCACTCAGCCGAACAGGAATGACTGGGAGCGCAGCCAGCTGTGCGAGTTGAAATGTCAGGGAGGCTGGCGGCGCCGAGGTCGCACAAACAGCTCGTGTCACGTCCAGACAAGGGAGGTGGGCGGAGGCTGAACAGGGCCAGACTGGGGGGGGGTTCAGGAGGGGCTGTGATGCAACACGGAGGGAAGTCTTCTGGGACCGTGAACCTCCTCTGCTGCCAGGGTTCAGTTTGGGACAGAGGCAGAAAAGAAACTGATTTTTTTCTCTCTCCTGCAGGTTTGTTTGTGATGAGCGGAGCCATCATCTACACGGTGTTGAGCCCGGAGTGGGTGCCCGAGAAAAACACCTTCGGCTACTCCTACATCCTGGCGTGGGTGGCCTGCCCCCTGGCGCTCATTAGCGGACTCATCTACGTCATCCTGAGGAAACGAGAATGAGCCGCCGCTCCCTCCCAGTGTTCCCAGTTAACCCTACAGCAAGTGTTCTCCGCTCCTCCCTGCAGTTTAAGTTGTGACGGCAGCGCTAATCGCGGCTAACGGGGAAGCAATCCCAAAAACAACTCGACACCAAAACACCGATACTCTCTCTGTTAAAAGATGTATATAGTATCTATGGTTTAAAACCTATTTATAACACTTTTTACATGTATATAGTTTTCGTGTTGCTCCGTCGATGTGCTTTGTTTTAGCTGATTAAGTGCCTCGCGCTCGTTGTTTGTAATGACAAAATGATTTTGTTGTGAGTTTTTCCTGCCTTTTTGTTAGAGTAATTGCCAAAGAATTATTAAAATATCAAAAAAAAAGTTTTTTTTGCGATATAATAACCAAAGTGCACGTATAGAAACAGGAAAGTTTAGCCAGTTTGTCGTTACTGACTTGATTTCCAAATAGTTTTAACAAACGTGTAGCATAATCATAAAATCTAGATGTTTTTCCCTTTTGTTTTTAATCTCTGATCATGCTATTGTTTTCTGATTATTATTTTATTTTTAACTAAAGATGGTGCTATGTATTTATCATTCCTCTTAGTGATAGCGATCATTTACTACAGTTACTGAGTTATTTCAAGTGAGAATCAGACAGAACGCGTTAAAAAGCCGGACTGCTTCTTTAGGGAACACAAACTTTAATACTTTGCAGAACCTGTTTTGGTTCATCAGCGTCTAGAAATGGTTTTAAGAAAGAAAAAAAAGCAGATTAAGGTTATGCTCTGATGAACCGAAAGGTGTGGAACTTCAGTATTATTCAACCAGCTCGCAAAGAGTTGGATCACATAAAAACAAAGTTCAAACATGTATTTCCTCTTTGTTTGCCTCGTCTCATGAAGCCAAATTGCCTTTTTAGCGACACCTCTTACAGAAAATAACCCTGTGGGGCATTGTAGCTAACAGAAAATAATATCTATACGTGCTATATTAAAGGTGAAGCCATACGGAAAAAAAAAATCACAGGATGTTTCAAGAAAAGACAAAGAACTACAGCGACGACGCAAATATCTGACGTACTTGAAGACTGACCTGCTGCGGTCTCTGCCTACTGATGTCGACACGTTAAGTTTGTTTTGTTTTTCCTCAACTGTATAAAACACTGTTTATATGTTGTGCATAACAGCGCTTTATGAAAATGTAGCTGAAAAAAAAAGAATCTCACTAAATAAATCTACTCTCACATGATCCAGTACTGTTGTATTCCACTGTTCTGAAGGACTGAAGGCTCAAAGCAGCTAAAGTTTACAACAACACAGAAATCATTCGTAAATGAATAGTCTGGGTATTTTTAAAGTGATTGTAAATACAGTAGTAGCTCATCAGCCACAGAACGTARGAAAAAAAGGGGAAACATCCAGATTAGGCTGATGGTCGGCAAAACAAGTGACTGGTTGTATCGTTTTAAGCTGAGGTTGTTGTAACGAAGTATATTTACTGAGTTATAGTACTTCATTTWCTTGAGAATCTGTAATTTTACTGTTTCATTTTAAAACTGAACTTTTATTTTAGATGCACTGGAAACATAAAAAGGATACTTTTACTGCTTTACTTTAACATAGTCAAACATTTCAAATTTAATAAGACCGGTGTTGTACGAAATTCAGCTCCCCTGTGAAAATCTGTTCCCTGTGTTTGAAGCGTCTCCCTCATATTAACCATTTAGGACTGGTCTGACGTTATGCCTGGACCAGTGATTCTCTCTAAGGTTAACCACTGGGGGAACAGATTTTCATAGGGGAACTGAATTWCGTACAACACCGGCACTCATCACGAAAGGAGTTGTTTGTGCAAAAAATAAAACYCGTTGAACTTAGCGGACCAAAGCTCTACTTGTTTCCACTAAACCGAGTTGAGCAAATGTTGAGAAAATGTGTAAATTGTTTTACATTTACTCAGCTCTGTTCAGTGGAACTAGTTGACATAACTTGGTTAAGTAAATTCAACACTTCTTTTCTTAAAGCAGATTCTTGACTTTTAAACACTTTTTTCTTAAAAGAGAAACTCATTTTTATTTATTTTATTTTATTTAACCTTTATTCATCCAGGTTAACTGATCGAGAACCACTTCTCATTTACAAATATAACCTGGCATGACCTTTTGAACAAAGTCCTTTTCTGTTTTTTTTTTTTCCAGACATTTTTACTTTTACTTACCGGTAGTTATGTTTTTCACTTACTTTTACACCTCTTGTTTTAAGCTCATGAAACTGTTACTCAAAACTATACTGGTGTTAAAACATGCTTCATTAGCTAATAGTAAATCTCTGCACTTAAATGTCAAAAACAAAGACATTCTAACTCAGTTCTGTGATAAAGGCTGACAACGTGCTAATTACTGACAGAACCTCACTTTATAAAAATGGCCAGACTATCCCTTTAAGGATGTTAKGGTTCTCTGACTGTAAACTCTGAAACACGTATCTGTTTGTGGTGCAAAATCTGAAACAGGCAGATATTTCTGCAAGGCGGAGCTGATCAAACTCCACCTTACTGCTCGTCTCGGTGGAGCAAACCAGCATCCTTGTGCGTGTGGCTGCACATACTGGATGGGACTCGTGCGGCAMAGGCCCGGCACGCAAATGCCAGTTATCACAAGCACGCAGCTCGTGTTTCAGTGTCAGCATCTCTCCTGACATCAGATCCAAGAGAACTTGTTCAGACGCCAAAACATGGCACCTGACCTTCGCCTGACATCTCCAGAGCGGAGCTGTGTTGTGGTGGGTTCGAGCATCGGCTGTGGGCTTTAGCTGATTTTTGGGGTTCAGTTCGAAGAGAATACCTCAAATGACGACTGCCCTTTTAACGACTCGTAAAGCTGAAGCCTTCAGTTGTCAACTTCAAATCTCTTTAACGTTTCTTCAAATTAATTCATTAAAGGATGTTTCTTACCACCCAAACACGCCTTTTTGTGTCTTTTCCTTCAGCGCTCTTATAAGCAATATGGATTAAATCATCACTTACATACTTGAGTTGGTACACATGTACAAATTAAAGACGTAGCATTTGTTGAAGAAAAGTGTTTTGCTCATCATGCCACAAAATTCTAGTACAATTTGTAAAATTGACTGAGTTGCAGGCTGTGGTGTCATCTTTAGGTGGGTCAACTCCAAAAGGAGCATTCAGTTTGATAAAATCCTTCCACTGGCTTATGGAATATTTTTGCTAAAGCTACAGACAGATGAACATAATTGTTTAAAATAAATATATAAAAAACAGAGTTCATGCAACACACAGAAAAAATTATCCATCTAATTAAATCTTACAATCTTATCAGGGGCGGAAGCAGAGGGGTGGTCGGGGTGGCAAGTGCCTCCTCTAACATCTGATTGGCCACCCCAGGTGTCACCCTTAAAGTGAGTGGAAACCTTGGATTTGCATGTAGATGCTGTTAAAGATTGTTTTGATACTACTGTACTACTTATATTTTCCTCTGTGTGTTTAATTCAATTAATTTAAATAATTAATGAATCCCAAAGGGAAATTGGATAAAAACGGCTGAAGCCCTCTTTTTTTTAAATTAGCATTTGTGGTTAGCCTAGTTTGGGATTAGCATTGGTGATCGGCATGGCATCATAGTCCACAACACATTTAATCTCAATAGGTCTTAAAATGACTGAATTATAGCCTTTTAAATCTAGTTACGGTGGCCATCTTGAAATTATTTTAAGAATTTAGTGTTTGGTAAAAATAGTTTTCGGCTACTTCTAKGGTAATCTTCAGCTTGGTAGGTCAAAAAAAGGCTGAAGAATAAATTGTGACTAACATTCAGGATGACATCATTATTTGCAATAATGCAGCTCAATATTTCTTCAAACTGCTGAATTAAAGCTGTTTAAATTTAGCTGTGGTGGATATCTTGAATTTTCTTTACTTGCATGTGACCCCCTGAAAAACATCTTGGCCACCCCTGTATCACCCCCCCACAAAAATGTCTAGCTCCACCCCTGAATCTTATATCCAGCCACAAAGTATTTTCGCTTTTGTTTGGAGATCGATATACTGTTGTTGGACTGGAAATTTTACCTTATTTCAACAAGTCTTACCAAGTGGAACTGTTTTATTCCACTGGCAGATTATTTCACTTAATTTGAGCAGATTCAGACTGCGTCTAAATCTCCAACTGATGAAAGAAAACTCTCAGGAGGAGGATTCTTGTTGCAGGCCCAGAAGGTCACAACCTCCCACTGCCTCCTCCTCCTAACATACCAGCCCAGGGTGGAACAAGGACACAGTGTTCTGATGGTTGGGTGCTGTCAAGTTAGGTTTATAGTTGGAATATACTGTGTTAAGTCAGCATTTTATAAAAGGTAGTCACAAATATCTCCAAAGAACTAAATTAACCAGCCTTATGTCCTGCAGGCAGCACCACCTGCTGGATYAACTCAGTAACAGCACCAGCATCTTTATTTAGACGCTGTTCCAACCAACACTGCCCTTGTGTGGCTAAATACAGTCACTACAGAAAAAAAAGAAGCAAATTCACCTCCTCCCTCGGGTGTGGCAGATTCTATTTTTCTTACTGAYGAGTGTTAAACCTCATTAACTCCATATATGATCATTAAAGGCTCGTTGGTGAGTGTTTCTCTGCTATTAGTATGCACATTACTTGTCTGCTGCCTGCATTAGTCAGTCTAATGAAGGCTCCTCCTCCAGATCCATTACAAAAGCTTTGGTGGAACAACACATCATTAGTGTTAAAGATAAATCAGTCTGAATTTCTACATCATTTTTCCAGAGCAACAGACAAAAGAGGGTAAGTTTGAAGAGTCCCWGAAGGGTTTCGATCAGTAAATGCTCTGTTAGCTGAGATCTGAGGAACAAAATAAGACGAACAAATTTAAGCTGACAGATAAAACTAAAATGTTACGTTTCAGAGCAACATGAATGATGAATTTAAGGTTACAGAAGTTAAACTGATTTTATTCCAAAACTGTCTTAATTATTTTTGGTTTCCAAGTAAAGGAAAAAAAAAAAAAAAAGAAAAGGTTTCCCTCTCGACTACAAATCTTGATTAGGACTTAAAATTAATCACATTCATTTTGTAGCCATTAAACCATCCACTGTGTCAAAGCCTCCCATTCATCAAGAGTGTGCTTTCATTTATTCATAGCTGCATCAAACCCATTAACTGAAATACTTCTAAGAATAGACCTCTTCCATTGTTGCATAAAAAGTCAAAGCATCAGAGCTGCTGGTTTTAGAAATGGAGCTCAAAGGCTGCAGTTTAACAGCATCCTTCTTGCAAACGTTGCTTTTGAATTTGTACGCAGCTGATGCAGCAGGTGGGTGAATCTGAATGTGTAATGGAGGTGGTTTTCTTTTAGGTTTTGTTGAATATGTTAACTTATTTTTCTTTGTTTCACTGCAAGTGTGTGGAATCCAGAATCCTTTATTTCTTAATGTGCATTAAATGATGTCTGCAGGAAGTAAAATACTTTAACATGAATARACCTGAAAAATACATGTTAGAGCAAACGTGTAGGGTAGATAAACAGGCCAGAGAAAGAAAAAAAAACACATAAAACAAGTCTAACAAATGCTAATTTATTTAAACTGAAAAAGCAAAAACAAACCAGAATTAATGAAGGACGAAAACATCCTCAGCTGATGGATCAGAAAAGAAAACAAGAAACTAAAATACAACAAGAGAAATGTGAAAGATAAAATACTAACARATAACAGCAGGAAGTGAAATAAATGACATTTTGCAGACAAGAGAAAGACACTGGCGCCCTCTGGTGGAACAYATACAGAATCATGTTAAAATCAGAGTATTTGTCTTTTGGTGAAAAACACACAGAAAGTTTCATGGAGAAAAATAGTGGATTTTGTGAAGCAAAAAAATAAAATCTTTCTCAAGCAATAAAAGTGATTAATTTTTTTTACAATACTTGTAGTGATGATTGAAGGACATCAAGTCACTATTTTTGTTCTGTTTTATTGCAGAAACTGATCTTTTGCTTTGCACATGCGTAAAAAAAAAACGTAAAAAACATTTCAAACTGAATGAAATGATGGTTCATCAGGAAGTGACTGGTGGGTTTTATAAACTCAGCTCTGTGGGTGTGTGGGCGTTCTGAGCCATTGTTTCTCCCTCGCAGGGTCAATGACGAGCTTTAGAAATAATCACTTTTCCTATTAATAATCTGAAAAATGTCCCCGCCTTGTCCCATCACAGCCAATGTCACTGTGACATCCAGCACTTGCACTTTAACCCTTCACCAACGCAGTTCTCCCCCACTTTGAGTCAACCGGGCGATAATATTTTCTAATTTCTCAAACACAATGGYGGGGACGCAAACAGAAGGCCCACCTTAATCTATCACGGCTCCTTTGAGGGCGCAGGGGTGCGCGGTGACAGGCGCAAAATCGCTGAGCCGGTGGGGAGGAGGGCAACAGACGCAATTAAGGCTCATGAAATGCAAATGGCGCTTTATGTGAGGGGGGGTCGGCTCAGGTCTCTCCGAGCTCTGCTGCCATCTGCTTGTCATCACCCACCAGTGGAAGAACCTCGGGGTCTCTATAATTTGTAGCTTCAATAACTCTGGCCTCAGATGGGGAGGAGAGGAGGAGACGATGTGGTGGTAGCTGCAGCCATGCAGCTGGTCCAGATTAGGTTCAGATTAGCTGCTCTGATCTCAGAGATACGTCTTCTCGCATTTCAGCACAAGATTAAACCCACTTGGAAGTTCGCGTGCGAGCCCGAATCCACCTGCAGAACARGTGCAGGGACTCTGCTCCGTCCTGCAAATGACCGCACAGAAACAAATCCAAATCTGAGGTACAAGTCGCGCACAATGGATCCGAAAAAAATCCTCGGGTCCTGCCATAACCCCGGCTCTTCCCCCGGAGCGTCGTTGGAAGGGGTCAAAGTGGACCCCGCCTGTCCGTCTTCCTCTTTCCACAGCCTGTCGTCCGTCACGTGGAAGCGCCGGACGACAACCGGACACTTTCTAAAACCCCTTGTCACGCAGACCCATCCTCCAGGTCAGGACCGAGTCGAGGTCGCCGCCACACATGGCCGACCCCTGAACTCACAGGTGTCCATCACGCTCAGGACATAAAGCAGAGATTGGCAGCTGATGTAGTGGGGAACTCAATCATCTTCTGCTCCCGCCATACATCAACATCACTTACGCCGACGTGCACCGGGGGCCTAATCGTTTTATCCAGGATAGAAGCCAGGAGAGAACGAGGCCGTGTGAGGCCACGATCTGACGCGAAGAGCAGCTCTGTGGAGGACTGCAGAGCCACAAACAAAGAACCGTGCCTCTTGCTTTAGAGTCTGATTAGATGATGACTTMAATGTCTGTGTGAGCACCTTCAGCAGCTGGAGAGCATCATCAAACGTGTGATTACCACAAGGACTCTCCGGCTCGTGAAGCGATGTTTGAAAGGCAGCAGAGGGTGTGATGTATTGATACTTAAACAAGTCATGAACAACAACATGACGGCAAACGCTACACAGAAGCAGGGGTTCTGCGCTGCTTTTTCAGATCCCAGCAGCTGCTTTTGAAACCTCTGTGCTGCACTGAGCAGGGATGGACAGCAGTGTTTCAGCACACAGTCAAGTTAAAACAGGGAYGTTTTATTGTGACTGCTGGGGGTGTGCATCGTTTGAATTAGATTCCCGTTTCCATTCCGGTTCCCACTGGTTCTGATGGTTTTCAGAGGCAGGGTCAATAAAGTTCACATGAGGCAGTTAACCAGAGTTCTTCAATAATTCAATAAAACTTTTATACACTAAGGATTCCGCACAAATTATCAACCACAATTAAAAAAAACAATTTGAATATAAATGTTATGAATTTCCTTTTGTTTTAAAAACCTCTGATGCTTTAGATACTTAAACATGTTTACTGAGCTGATTTCAATGTTTTAAGGTCTAGTACAACTT